GGGCCTTTATGTGTGTGAGAGAATGTGTTGATTTGTTGATAAAATTTTGTCTAATACATAAACACCGTTTTAAAATCCAGGAAAGACCTATAGAATTATTAATCCAAAGTAAGATATTTAAAAATACACGTTAATATTTTTATTTTTTGTCTGTTTGAACCTTTTTTCTCTAGATTACTTGATTGGAGATGTATACGTTGAAAGAATTATTGTTAAACTTCATGAAACTTTGTTCAAAACAAAGGAATCATCAGAAGCTGAAAATAGTGACTCATCAGTGTCTTTTATCTGTGATGTGGCCTATAACTATTTCAGCTCAGCGAAAGGATGCTTGCTAATGCCATCATCTGAAGATTTATTATTAACTCTCTTTCAGTTATGTGCCCAGAGCAAAGAAAAAACACATTTGCCAGGTAATAGCCTACTGCTCAAATGTTTTGTTGGGAATCTCCGGCTCTGACCTTCATAGTGAGTGTAAGTGCCCAGGCTTTATTAATTGAATCATAATGTGTTTGAAAGTTTAAAGCATTTTGAGTAAAGGGCTACAGTCTTAAACACTTTCAGCTTTAGAAACCAAGTTAAAGATGTGTGTAGATGTTATTTCTAAAGATCTCACTTGATATTCAAAGAAATTTGGAATGAGCCATAATTGATTAGGTAGAATCTTAGTCCATTCAGCAGTTCTGGCATGTTCCTTAATTTCTTGATGCCTTAGTTTCCTCATTTGTAAAAGGGGGATAATAATATCCCTTTATTATAGTAAAAACATTCAATCTTTGGTGTATATCAAAATAGAATTGAGATTATCTTTTTAAGGACTATATTCTTGCCTTATATGCTAATTCAGACTTATTTGTGAAAGGAACATACAAAAATACTATCTATAGAGAGCTCTCCTCCAACCCTTCGTTGTTTCTTTTTTTTCTTTCCTTCTTCCTTCCTCTTTCTCTCTTTTTTTCTGCCCATCATTGTCTACCAACCCTGTCTTAAATACTAACTTCTGTATTTGGAAAAGGTGTAATAATTTTTTTTTAATGTCTCCAAAAGGACAATTCTTGTAAATAAGTTCAAGCATAAAAAATGTAACTTTAAATATCTTACCATTTTACATTTATATGATACGAGCTAGCTTGTGTGATTGCATGTTTATGACACAGTTGCTTTGTTTGGCAATTGAATTTTGAATGGCAATTGAACTTAAAATTTTTCTTTTTTAAATGGTATTTTAAAAAATCTCAGATCTGTAGAGTTGTTTCAAACATTTCGTGCTGATTAGAGTTAATTCAGTGAGATTACAAATTCCTGTTGACATCTTGATTTTAGATTTTCTTATCTGTAAACTGAAAAATACTTGGCTCTCCGGTGTAAATTTATTGGTTCATCAAACTGACAGTTCATATAAAGAGAGTACCTTCCTGCATTTGTCTGCTGTGTGGCTGAAGAACCAAGTTCAGGCTTCATCTTTGGATATCAACAGGTAACCTTTTTTGAGCTTGGTTTCAGTGTCTTTTTTATACTTTGTCAGTGTCCTTAAATAAGATTCCATGATCAGTGTGAATGCCTATGAAAAATTACTTGTAGGGCTTGCACCTATAATCCCAGCTACTCAGTAGGCTGAGGTGGGAGGATCAGTTGAGGCCTCTGGGAGTTCGAGACCAGCCTGAGCAACATAGTGAGATGCCATCTCTTAAAAAAAAGAAAAATGAAAAATGACTTGTTAGGTAACAAATCTATGGGACTCTAAGAAAAGATCCAAACAAATTTTTCCAAAACCATTTTGTTTCAATAATCATCCATTTAAACTGCCAATTAATTGAAGGATAATTTACTATAACATACCTGCTGGACTCATAACTTATAGACAGTAAAGTGATGGTAATACTATCCTTTGTCATAGGCCGGTGTGCACTGTAGCCTCTCATGGTCACCACATGTACTGATTGTCCTTGGTTATTTATTTTTGGGGGACAGGTAGGCACTGTTTTAAGGTGTTGAATTGCAAGTATATTTTACATTTCATACCTACATCCATATAATAAAGGAGAAGAGAGAATGCATTTAGAAGATATTGGGGTTAGGTTAAATAATGCTGAATTTCATAAGGTAGCTATATTTCTGAAATACCTGGTCTGAAATAGGTCAGGTCCTCTTCATTCTGAGATAGATAGGAAGCAACACTAGATTTCAGATGATAAATATTGGATTACCTACCCAGTTTGACTGTGCTATGTTGGTGTGTTGTCGGTGGGGGAGCATCACTTACCTCTTTTTTATTTTCATCATTTCTTTTTGTTCAGGTAAGCTATTATAGGGTATTTAATATGTACTGGGGTATTCAAACTAGTCATAGCATAACTACAACAGTTAAGTTTTTTGCATTATTTTTAGTCTCCAAGTCCTCTTGTCTGCTGTTGATGATTTGCTAAATACACTTCTAGAGAGTGAAGATTCTTATCTTATGAGAGTTTATATTGGAAGTGTAATGCCGAATGACAGTGAATGGGAAAAGATGAGACAGTCTCTTCCTATGCAGGTATTTTTGAAATTGAAGAGTATGTATCTCATTCTGAGGTTTGGATTTCATGCAAGCTTGAATATTTTTTATTTTGGGGAAGAAAAACATAAATAAAATGAATATTTTGCTTTGCTTTGATGTCTTTGTACACTCATATACTGGATGTTTGCTTTTTGCAAGACACTATTTGACAGTGGCAGTGGCCATGGTACAAAGACTTAAGACCTAGTTCTGTACTTAAGGAGTCTTAAAGAAATACACGTTGATAATTTCCTGTAATAGAAAACAAACTTCTAGGTTTCCGTGGTTTTGGTAATAAATATTCTCACAACTTCATTTTTGTTCAGTCTTAATTGCTTAGGTAATAAATAATTTTGTATATAATGTACTCTTTTCACAGTGGTTACATAGACCTCTTTTAGAGGGAAGATTGAGTTTGAATTATGAATGTTTCAAAACAGATTTTAAGGAACAGGACATAAAGACACTTCCCAGCCATTTGTGTACTTCAGCATTATTGAGCAAAATGGTCTTAATTGCACTGAGAAAGGAAATAGTCTTAGAAAATAATGAGCTTGAGAAAATAAGTAAGTATATATGAGCATTTACATATAACATAATGCATGAATAATCTTGAAATAATCTTGATTATACTGCAATTTAAATCTTTAATTTAAAGAATCTTCAGCTTCCTTTTTCCTATTTTAATGATGAGAACCTTGAAATTACTTGAGTGATGAATATTAAATTGCAAATTAGATACAAATATATTGGAACCTTGCTATAATCTTGTTAACTGTGGATCATAATTTGGTGTTAGCTACTCACACTGTCATGACATCAATATAAAAAGATCCTGTGACACATACCCTAAAGAAAATGGGTGAGGCTTTGGTGTTTTATCAAGGATTCAGAATTTTCTGTTGATTAAAAAAAATTGATACCTGATAATTGTACATATTTATGGGTTACATGTGATATTTTGATATATACATAGAATGTGTAGTGATCAAATCAGGCTAAGTAGGATATTCATCACCTCAAACATTTATCATTTCTTTGTTTTGAGAACATTTCAAATCTTCTAGTTATTTTTAAATATAAATCATTGTTAACTGTGGTCATCCTACTGTATTATTGAATACTAGGTCTTTTATCTTCTCTCTAACTGTATTTTGGTACCCATTCACCCACTTCTCTTCATCCCCTGCTCTCCTTGACCCTTCTCAGGGTAACCATCAGTCTATTTTACTACTCTTATCTTCATGAGATGCACTTTTTTAGCTCCCATAAACAAATAAGAACATGCGATGTGTGTCTTTCCATGCGTGGTTTATTTCATTTAGCATGATGATGTCCAGTTTCATCCGTGTTGCTGCAAATGACAGGATTTCATTCTTTTTTTCTGAGACAGAGTCTTGCTCTGTTGCCCAGGCTGGAGTGCAGTGGCGTGATCTCGGCTCGCCACAACCTCCGCCTCCCAGGTTCAAGTGATTCTCCTGCCTCAGCTTCCCAAGTAGATGGGACTACAGGTGCACGCCACCATGCCTGGCTAGTTTTTGTATCTTTAGTAGAGACAGGGTTTCACTATGTTGGCCAGGCTGGTCTTGAACTCCTGACCTCGTGATCTGCCTGTCTCAGCCTCCCAAAGTGCTGGGATTATAGAAGTGAGCCACCGTGCCCGGCCTCATTCTTTTTTTAATGTCTGAAGAGTATTCCATTGTGTATATGTACCACATTTTATGTATCCATTCATTCACTGATGGACACTTAGGTTGATTTCATCTCTCTCAGCTATTGTGAATAGTGCTGCAGTAAATATGGGGTGCAGATATACCAGTTTTCTAAATACTCAGTGGGATTGCTAGATTGTATGATAGTTCTATTTTTAGTTTTTTGAGCCACTTCCATATCGTTTTCAAAAATGGCTGTACTAATTTGCATTCCTACCTTAGCTTCCCAAATAGCTGGGACCACAGGCACGAGCCACCATGTCCAGCTATTTTTTTTTTTTTTTTTTTTTTTTTTAGAGATGGGGTGTTACTATGTTCCCAGACTAGTCTTTATCCTGGGCTTAAGCAATCCTCTTGCCTCAACCTCCCACAGTGCTGCGATTACAGGCAGTGCCACCATGCCCAGCTTATTTCTTACCTTTTTGACAATAGCCATTCTAACTGGGGTTTTGATTAGCATTTCCCTGACGATTACTAATATTGAGCATGGGATTTTTTTTTTCCTTTCTTGCTGTTGAGTTGTTTAAATTCCTTATATATTCTGTATGTTAGCCCCTTGTTAGATGAATAGTTTGCAAATATTTTCTCCCATTCTACAGATTGTCTCTTCACTTTGTTGATTGTTTCTTTTGCTGTGCAGAAAGCTTTTAGTTTAATATAGTCCTGTTTGCCAATTTTTGTTGTCATAGCCATAAAAATATTTGCCTAGACCAATGTCCTGTAGCGTTCCTTGATGCTTTCTAGTTGTTTTGTATAGTTTCAGTTCTTATGTTTAAGTCTTTAATCCATTTTGAGTTGTTCTTTTTAGATGGTGAGAGATAGAGGTCTATTTTCACTTTTCTACATATGAATATTCAGTTTTCCTAGCATGATTTCTTGAAGAGGATGTCCTTTCCCCAATAAGACTTTGTCAGTTGGCTGCAAATATGTCGATTTATTTCTGGGTTCTCTAGTTCTGTTCCATTGGTCTGTGTGTGTCTGTTTTTATACAGATACCATACTGTTTTGATTCCAGTGGTTTTTGAATACCTTTATGTTTCATCAGGCTCTAATTTTTTTTTCTGGCAAGTGGATGTTCAAATGTTGAACCCTAAGAGGACTTAGGGCCTCAGCAAATTTTCCTGTTTCAATAAATGGTTTAGAATTATAGGTGGTGGTGTGACTTTTACCAGATGGTATTGAAGGTAGAGGATTTGCAGAAACCCTGTATCAGTCTTGTTTGTAAGCCCTCAGCTGTAACACAGTTACTAGAAGGGGGAATATATGCTCTGTGGAAGAAAGTTGAAACACCTCTTTTGGGCAGCCAGCTTCACATTCAGTTAAGAGAAAGGAAATAAGCCTGTAGTTTACATTGCTCACAGAGTAAATCTGGGCAAACCCAAAACTAGTAAGTAGAGTAATAATTTTTTGTGTTACTAATTACAAACGCAATATTATTTCTTTAATTTTATCGAGCTCATTGGTCAGATATTATTGTTGTTTGTGTTACCATGACTTGATTAGAGTTGCTTAGCTGTTAAGTGTAGGATTAGATTTTGAACCAGGTCGCAACGCTTCTCACTCCAAAATCTATACATGGCTTTATAAAAGGGAGTTGTGACTGTGTATTAGAAACCTATGATATGCCAGGCTTCATGATAGATACTTGTCCATTTAATTCTCACTGCAGTCCTGTGAGTTAGTTTGTAATATCCTAATTGATAACTATTTATATAGCTTGAGAGAGAGAGATGCAGATTTGAATCCACCCCAATCTGTAGCTGAGGCCCCATGTCCTTTTACTGTATCATACTGTCTCCCATCTCTCCCATTTGCCATGGACTTCTCACGTCAGGTCTTAGGTCCCTTAGTTGTTTTTCCTGTCTGGAACTTTTTACCAATTGTGCCAAAATGGTAGGAAGATTCTTTCAGTATCTCTAGTAACTTAGGTTCTTGTCACATTCTTAACTAATTAGAAAAAGGACCAAGTAAAATTTGGGAAAAGGGTGATATTTTGTATCAGACAAATATTCTCAGTTTTCATTATCCTCGAACATGTCAAAGCAGATATGAAAATCAGTTCATAGGTGTTTTGAGATGAGTGGGCACAACAGTGGTAGAAAACAAGGCGGAGAAGTGAAAATAATTGAAGGGTTTGTTCACAAATTACTTTTGATAATTTGGTGCCGTCTCTTCTCTTAGTTGCGGAACTGCTTTATTCACTGCAGTGGTGTGAAGAATTAGATAACCCACCTATTTTTCTAACTGGATTTTGTGAAATGCTTCAAAAAATGAATATTACGTATGATCACTTACGTGTACTTGGTAATACTTCTGGCCTTTTGCAGCAGTTATTTAACAGGTAAGAATCTCTTTCAATTTCTGTTTTTAAAATGACTATGCTACTTCTTTATGGCTTTGCCTTCTCTAAGAGGTAACCCTACTTCATGCTAATGTTTCAGTCAGAGGATTGATCTAAATAATTCCTATTCTTAATGATAAATAGTGTATGAATTCTAAATACTTGATTTAACCTTCTCAGGGGAAGATATTTGTATTCTACATGTCTTATTAAATCCATAAATACATTCAGGGATCAGATGACAAAAAAGAAGTAGAAGCTTGTAGAAGTTGTTTTGATTTATCTGTGACTCATCCTCCCAGTTCTCTCAGATTCATCCTTTATCTTACGTGTTGTTATAGGTGTGTCTGAATGTTATGACCACAAAGCCCTCTCCCCTAGATTAGGAAGGCAGGTATGAAAACAGTCCTTGTAGAGGTTATAGTAGTAAGATGTTTAGCTTTTTAAAATTACCGTGTTGAACTGCTTTAAGAGTTTTATCACTTGCCGATAGTATTTTGAGCATGCTTTGCTGTGTCAGAGGACCCAGGCTTCCTTTCCAATCCCATTCTACTTAGTTGACACTCACAACTTCCCTCAGAACCAAAGAACCTCTTTGATTGTTCAACTTAAGCCAGCCTAGGTGTCCTCTGGGAGATGTCTTTTTCCCAGCTACAGCCTCTGGTTTTCAAGCCTGATCTCTAAGATCATCTCCCTTATTGGGACTGAAGAGACTGTGGAGTTTCCTAGGGATGAGAGCTCAATACCAACCGTGAAAGAGTGTTGAAAGCCTAAACTCCCAGTTCTTTGGATAATTACTGGCAGTTGCTTGGGTACAAAGTCTTAGGTGAATTGATGCCATCACAAGGTGCCTTATTTAATTCTGTAAAAGGAATCCAGCTAGCCAGTGTTTAAACATTTTATTCAGTACACTTTCAAAATGGAATATAATTTTTTTCTTTCCTTTTTTAGGTCCAGAGAACATGGCACACTGTGGTCTCTTATTATTGCTAAGTTGATCCTTTCCCGAAGCATTTCATCTGATGAAGTAAAACCACATTATAAGAGAAAAGAAAGGTATTCTTATTTAAAATGTTTTTACTTTGTAATTTACTGTAAATGGTCACTTTGGCAGCCCCTAATTAATGAATAATCTCTAGTGAATCAAGAAAACAGGTTTAGGAAATGAGGAAATTAAAGACCTCAAGGCAAATTAAATTGTTTTAGGTTAGGGACATACCTTTTTATTTATTTATTTATTTATTTTATTTTGAGACAGGGTCTCACTCTGTTGCCCAGGCTGGAGTTCAGTGGTGCGAACATGGCTCACTGTTCAACCTCCCGTGGTCAAGTGCTCCTCCCACCACACCCTCCTGAGTAACTGGGACCACAGGTGTGCACCAGCACACATGGCTAATTTTGTAATTTTGTAGGAATGGGGTCTCTCGCCATGTTGCCCAGGCTGGTCTCGAACTCCCGGGCTTAAGCAGTCCTGCTGCCTCAGCCTCCCAAAGGTCTGGAATTACAGGTGTGAGCCACCATGTCTGGCCCATACCTTTTTTTTTTAAAGTAAGTAGTTTTAACTCCATAGCCTTTTGTTGTAGAATTTTATACGGTACTTTTTTTTTTTTTTAAGCCAACAGCATTTCATGAACTTGTTTTCTTTTCCCCAGAAATCTTTCTGATAGAAATATTTTCTTTTGCCCTTTCCTAATACTCTTTTTCCATCACTTTATTTGCTATATGGAAATGACAGGGAAAGTTACTCTTCTCTTAAATAACATCATCCTATTGAAGTATGTTCTAGAAAAGTAACAAATATGTTCTGTTCTTCAGACAAAGAGGTAGATTGTGGGTTTGGGTGTGCTGGTGAAGCTCAGCATTCAAATTAATACTTAGCTGAGATTTACCAAGAGGCACTCTGAATTTACTGATTTACCAAGAAGAATTCTGAAATGATAGATACGTGTTTGGGCATAGTAGAATTCTAAATTAAATTTTGATCATTTTTTATCTTAAAAGTTTTAAAAAACCTTTTATTTTGAGGTAATGGTGGATTCACATGAATGTGTAAGAAGTAATACAAAGAATAAAAATCATGTATCTACCCAGTGGTACTGTTTTGCATAACTTTAGCATAGTATTATAACCAAGGAAAAGGTGTTGATACAGTCAGTTGACTTAGTTTACATGCACATGTTTGTGTATGTTTGTGTGTGTGAGAGATAGAGTGTGTATGTGTTCTGTGTAGCTCACATCTGTGACCACCACCACAGTCAACTACAGAACACTTTCATTATCAGGATCCCTTAGGTTATCCATATATAGCCTCAGCCACTTCCCTTCCCATTGTCCTGATCCCTCGCAACCACTAATCTGTTCTCTATGTTTGTAATTGTGTCATTTAAGAATATTATATAAATGGAATTGGCCGGGTGCAGAGGCTCATGCCTGTAATCCCAGCACTTTGGAAGGCTGAGGTGAGAGGACAGCTTAAGCCCAGGAGTTCGAGAGCAGCCTGGGTAACATGGCAAAACCCCATCTCTACAAAAAATACAAAAATTAGCTAGGTGTGTTGGTGTGCACCTGTAGTTTCAGCTACTCATCAAGCTGAGGTGGGAGGATCACTTGAGCTCAGGAGGCGGAGGTTGCAGTGAAGGCGGAGGTTGCAGAGAACAGAGATCACGCCACTGCACTCCAGCCTGGGCAACAGAATGAGACCCAGTCTCAAAACAAACAAAACAAGACAAAAAACAATATTATATAAATGGAATCATACTGTATGTAACTTTTTGACATTAGCTTTTGTAGCATAATTAAAATTTTTTTCTGATTATAAAAGTAATACGAAATTAGCTAAAGAACTATTGGAACTAATTACTAAGGAGATGGATGTATACCACACAAAAATGAATAACTTTTTTATTCACCCATAGTAATAAATTTAAAAAATGGTATGGGAAAAAAAGATTCCATTCACAATGACAACAAAAACTATAAATACTTAGAAATAAATTAAAAAAAAAATTACAATTGTAAAACTTGAATAAAGATCTCAAAAGAAGGTGGGAAGATTAATTGTAAAAATGATTGTGTCAACCTATAATTTCAGTGCGATCTCAATCAATTTCAGCAGTTTTTGAAAAACTTAGTAAACTGTTCTGAACATAGTATACATTTGAAGGAAAACGTTATCAAAAATAAGAAATTTTTGAAAAAAGTGAAAGAAACTGCATACCAAATATAAAATATAATATTGAATTATAGTAATTAAGCAGTATGAAATTGAAGAGTAGACAAATCAGTGGATACAGTCCAGAAACCTATTCACACATATATGTGAATTTAGTTTTTAATATAGGTGGCATTTCAAATCAGTGTGGTGAATAAATAATAATGATATGAAAATTGGTCATGTGTTTGGAAGAAAAATACTGAGACCTTCTCCTTTACATTATATGTAAATATATATATATGTATATATGTATTTGATTTTGCAAAAATGAAAACTTCTTGCAACCTAAGTGCCCATCAGTGGATAAATGGATAGATAAAAGTGTGATATAACCATATAATGGAATATTATTCAGCCTTAAAAGGGAAAGAAATTCTGACATGCTACAGTCTGTATGAACCTTGAGGACATTATGCTGAGTGAAATAAGCCAGTTACAAAAAGACGGATACTCTATGATTCCTTTTATAGAGTAGTCAGATTCATAGGGATAGAAAGTAGAAGGTGGTTGCCTGGGGCTGACGGTGAGAGAGGAATGCAGCATTCATGTTTAGTGGGTAGAGTTTCAGTTTTGCAGAATGAAGAGGTCTGGAGATTAGTTGCACAATAGTGTGAATGGACTTAACACTGCAGAACTCTACACTTAAAAATGGCTAATACATTAATTACATGTGTATTTTATGACAGTTAAAATTTTGTATATAGTATTTATGAAAGATGAAAACTGTGACAAAAATATAAAGATTACCGGGACAAATGACAATGGGAGAGGACATTTGCAAATCAACAAAAAATATCTGTAATATGTAGATAGTTTATATAAATCAGTAAAACCCTCCAAATTGAAAAATTTATCAAAGACTTAAAGAGGCAACTCATAGGTGAAATGGTCAAAGGTAGGTCAATACTGAAATGTGAAATATGAAAGGATTTGCCTTACTAATAATGATAGAAGTACAAATTAAAAGCAATGGTTTTATCCACTATATTGCCAAGAATCAAAAAGATTCATTAAGTGTGCAGCTAAACAGTCCCACCTGTGCATTTTCGGTGACAGTGTAAATTGATTATGAGTTTTCAGAAGCAATTTGAAATTGCCAACATATAATACATTCAAACCTTTGAGCTTTCAATTCCACTTCTAGGAATTTAGCCCGAAGAGGTATTTATACATTCGCAGAATAGTATCTTCTTAAGGATATTTATTGCAGCATTATGTGTGAGGGCAAAAATTTGGGGGGGAAAGAAACCTAATGTTCACGGATAGGGAAATAGTTATGACACATCCATAGTACAGAGTGTTAGGTAGATTTTATTTTTGTTATATAGCTTTAAAACAGAATAATTTATACATTCTGACAGAAAGTATATATAAGTGGTAAATGATAGAACAATATGTTTTGTGTCATCCCTTTTATATGAATAAAACCCAACTATATATATGCACAAATATGAGTATCAGTTCGAAGAAAGGACACACAGGCCTGTAATCCCAGCACTTTGTGGGGCCGAGGCGGGTGGATCACCTGAGGTAAGGAGTTCGCGACCAGCCTGACTAACATGGTGAAACCTTGTCTCTACTAAATACAAAAAAAATTAGCCAGACGTGGTGGTGCATGCCTGTAATCCGAGCTACTTGGGAGGCTGAGACAGGAGAATCACTTGTACCTGGGAGGCGGAGGTTGCATTGAGCTGAGATCATGCATTGTACCCCATCCTGGGCAACAAGAGTGAAACTCCGTCTCAAAAAAAAAAAGAGAAAGGACACACAACTGGTACTATTTATTTAAGTTGAATCAATTGACTCTTTTTTTTTTCTTTTTTTTGAGATGGAGTCTTGCACCGTCGCCAGGGCTGGAGTGCAGTGGCGCGATCTCAGCTCACTGCAACCTCCGCCTCCCAGGTGCAAGCGATTCTCCTGCCTCAGCCTCCTGAGTAGCTGGGATTATAGGCGCCTGCCACCACACTCAGCTAATTTTTTGTATATTTAGTAGAGATGGGGTTTCACTACGTTCGCCAGACTGGTCTCAAATGCCTGACTTCATGATCTACCCTCCTCAGCCTCCCGAAGTGTTGGGATTATAGGCGTGAGCCACTGTGCCTGGCAGTTGACTCTTTTTTTTAAAAAGAGAACATAATGTCATGTGGCTAGTGTATTTTTTAAAAATCATACATGGGGATATGTTATATATGCTCATTTAAAAAATTTATGCAGAAAAAAGGAGCAAACAAAAAAATTTCAAGTCAGCACTTGTTAAAACCTATCATAGTTTCTTTTTATGTAATTATATGTGATAGAATTATTCATCTTTTTCAATAGTCCCAAATAAAAGGAATATATGAAATAACTGTATGTTTGGAAGAAATCTAACTTGTGATTTTTCTTTTCTTTAAACAGTTTTTTCCCACTAACTGAAGGCAATTTGCATACCATTCAAAGTCTATGTCCATTTTTGTCAAAAGAAGAAAAGAAAGAATTTAGTGCTCAATGTATACCTGCTCTTTTGGGCTGGACTAAGAAAGATCTTTGGAGTACTAATGGTTAGTTGCTTGAAAATAAATATTTCATTAATTTAATTATTGCTTGAGATGAAGAACTGTTTCTAATATATAAGACCATATCTATTAGAGGTAAATTGAATTACAGCTGATTTGTTCTGAGATTATATGGATGAGTGTCATTAGACAATGGCTGTTACCATTTTACAGTACAAAAATGCTGGGCCTTGAGGGAAGACTTACACCCAGAAATACCTTCTAACCATTTCTTTTCTATGTACAGCTTTTTAAAGCTGTGCCTCATTTCTCCCTAGCCAACCAATGACTGAACATATAAAGGCAAAAATAGCTTCTGTTGTATTTAAAACACTGCACTTTTCATTTGTTTATAAATTTTTTTTTTTTTTCTGAGACAGGGTCTCACTCGGTTGCCCAGGCTGGAGTGCAGTGGCACGATCTCGGCTCACTGCAAGCTCCGCCTCCCAGGTTCACGCTGTTCTCCTGCCTCAGCCTCCTGAGTAGCTGGGACTACAGGCGCCTGCCACCACGCCTGGCTAATTTTTTGTATTTTTTTGGTAGAGACGTGGTTTCATCATGTTGGCCAGGATGGTCTTGATCTCCTGACCTCATGATCCGCCTGCCTTGGCCTCCCAAAGTGCTGGGATTACAGGCGTGAGCCACTGCACCCGGCCTGTTTATTAAGTTAATCAACACTTATGAGCACCCACTACATGGTAGTTCCTGTTGTAGAGAAGATAAACGTGAAGTTGTATCATGTGATAACTGATGTAGCAAAAAGATGTATTATGTATACAAGTGGCAGAAAGGAAGGAGTTTCCACTCTGCTTTGAGGGTGGTAGTGGCGATTTCATAAAGAGAAATATTTCTACTGGGTGTTGAAGGATAAATCGTTTTCCATATGGACATAGTTGGGGAAGGGCATTCCAGGTACACAAACATACAAGAGTACAGATTGTTCGTTTTGGCTGGTATATAAGATAGAAGGTTGGGGACAGAGGGTGTTAAGATACATCAGTGGATGGATTTTGAGGAATGGTAGAGATTCTAAAGAGAGGGTCCACATCAGAGTTTGCCACATATACTAGCTGCTATTGAGTGAATGAATGTGTAAATTATGAAACACTATGTTCTCTTTTCCATTTGCTGTTTCCAGCTACTCTGTAGCTGTAGGTTTTTTTTTTTATTTGAATGATGAGTTTGCTGAATATGTCCTGCACTTAAGAAACCAAAACAAAAGCAGCATAAGTCCGTTTAAATTACAGTATCATTCCCTTACTTTCCCCTCCCCCAAACTCTCTATTGTGTGCTAGGTATGGAGACAGAGTCTCTGTCCTTTGGAGCTTATAAGCTCATTTTTGGACTCTTACATAAAAGCCATTTGTAGAGTTCTTAACCTGAGCACTTCTCAAGAAAGTCTTTTACTTCTCAAAGTGGACTTTTTAAATATAGCCGTATAGTTCTTAAAAATTTTTAATTTTCATTTTGAATTTTACTTCAGGAGGTTTTGGACATCTTGCCATTTTCAATTCTTGTTTGCAAACCAAAAGTATAGATGATGGGGAGCTATTACATGGAATATTGAAAATCATAATATCCTGGAAGAAAGAGCATGAAGATATTTTTCTTTTCAGTTGGTAGGTGATGCTTTATACTATGTTTTTCCTTCAGCATACAATTCAGACAAAGATGACGTATCTGTGTCACAATTTTGTAGAGTAATTATGGTAGACATTTAAGTCAGTTATTTATGAGTATATAAGATTTAAATAACATTTTCTAATTGAATGTCAATATAATTATTATTTTGTTGTCATTTGTTTTTATCTTCATCACAGTAATCTATCAGAAGCAAGTCCAGAGGTACTGGGTGTAAATATAGAAATAATCCGGTTTCTTTCCCTATTTCTGAAATATTGCTCATCCCCTTTGGCAGAGAGTGAGTGGGACTTCATCATGTGCTCCATGTTGGCTTGGTTGGAGGTAAATTAATGTGATATGTCATCACCTCTTGTGGGTCTTTGTACGTACTTTTGCATCAGAACTATCTACCAATCTCATTCTTTAAGTGATGATTGTAATTGGTTCCTTTGCGTAATTTAAAACCCTTTATAGATGTTCTTCTTACCAGCTACAATTTGACAGAATAGTAAGATGATAGATTTTTAATGACTACCAGCATCATTCAGTGACCAAATCTCCTGTTATTAAAATGCTTTCTCCATTAGCTTATTATAATATTTGCAGCACAGCCCTTTTAGGTTTTATCTGTTAATGACAATTATTTTGGTCTTTTTTGGTTATAATTAGATTGTTTCTAAAACGTGCTGTATAAATATTGTGAGAGTAATGCATTAAATAGCAAATTCAGAGGGAATTAGTGTAATTTTATGACCCAGAGCAACCAGAAGTATATTACTTGTGGGCTCCAAGGCAGCAAGTCGGTCAGGGTCGAATTGGTCTCAATCTCTGCTTTGCCTGCTCTTAGCTATGTGACTTCGAGTTTTAAACTTAAACTCAGCTTTCTTTCTTTCTTTTTCTTTCTTTTTTTTTTTTTTTTTTAATTTGAGAGGAGTCTCGCTCTGTTGCTTAGGCTGGAGTGTGGTGGCGCAATCTTGGCTCACTGCAACCTCCGTCTTCTGGGGTCAAGCAATTCTTGCGCCTCAGCCTCCCAAATAGCAGGATTACAGACACCCACCAGCATGCCTGACTAATTTTTATATTTTTAGTAGAGATGCAGTTTCACCATTTTGACCAGGCTGGTCTCAAACTCCTGCCCTCATGTGACCCACCCGCCTCAGCCTCTGAGCCACTGTGCCTGGCCGATTTTCTTATTTTAAAATAATAACTTACAACTTGTAGGGCTACTGAGAAGATTAGAAATGTGTATTTTATGTATCTGACTTAGTGTTTTCTTCCATAGTTTAGAAATTTAAAAGGGCATTTGAGAATAAATTATTTGTTAATGATTCTAATTCATGGTATTTAATTTTGAAGAAAAAAGTTATTTTGATATAAAATTGTTTTATTTCTCCTGAGACTACATACTTCAACTGCTTTTCATTTTAAAATTCAAAGAAATGAAAGAAAGGCTTTTCTTTATATTGGCTTTATTTGTAGTGTTCTGGTAGAAGTCTGTTTACCTATTTCATTTTTATTGTTTTTTTCAGACAACAAGTGAGAATCAGGCATTGTATTCTATTCCACTTGTGCAACTGTTTGCCTGTGTCAGCTGTGATTTGGCCTGTGACCTCAGTGCTTTTTTTGATTCCACAACTCTGGATACCGTTGGCAATCTTCCTGTAAATCTAATCAGTGAATGGAAAGAATTTTTTTCCCAAGGCATCCACAGTTTGCTTTTACCTATTTTGGTGACTGTTACAGGCAAGTGAAAAAGGGAATAATAATGAGATTGATTCATTGGAAATGACTTACTGAAAAATTCAAAACCAAAAATTTTGATGTTTAAATCAAATAATACTAAATAGTAAAAGAAAAAGCCAGAAAAGAAAGCTTGGCTTCTCAGAAGCATCATATATGCTTCTACTTTACAGACAAAAATTGAAAAATGGCAAGGTATCCAATGACTGTTGCAAATTAAAATAATAGTAATTCAGATAACATGAATGGATCACGTGAATAGAACCTGTTGAACATTTGCTTTCTTTTTAGATGAGGATCAGATAAAAGTCATGAAAACAGTTGAGATTAACTGGAATATATATTCAGGTCATGTTTCTAGTTAAGAGTGCTTTATTGTTGATGTCTAGTTTTTATTTCATTTTCTTAAATGATACTTGATTGTGAATCAGTTAAGCTATACTAACTTTCTTCTGGGACGGGCATGTTTCTTTCCTTTTTGTCATTAGGAGAAAACAAAGATGTGTCTGAAACATCCTTTCAGAATGCAATGCTGAAACCCATGTGTGAAACATTAACATATATCTCAAAGGAACAGCTATTGAGTCACAAACTTCCTGCAAGATTAGTTGCTGACCAAAAAACAAACTTACCAGAATATCTCCAGACTTTGTTAAATACATTGGCCCCATTACTTCTCTTCAGAGCTAGGCCTGTGCAAATTGCTGTTTATCATATGCTATACAAGTAAGAATTCATCCAATTGAATCAATGTTACAATGATCTAAAAAAATAGAATATATGCTTAGTTTTTACTTTTAATCATTTAAAAAAGTAAAAGTTTTAAAAGGAGATCTGACTGCTTCACTTATAGGGACACTAAGTTGCCTGATCTTTTAGGTTATTGTTTTCTATACACAATTTATATTTCAATAGTCCTGGCTATAGTAGTTATTTTAGAGAAAACTCATTAAAACATTTACTTATTATAAAATAAGTATTGGTCTTTCTGCTCTTGAGCATGACTTAATAAACAGTTTAATATCACATATTTTAAAATAATGTTCTAATTTCTAGATTGATGCCTGAATTACCGCAATATGATCAGGATAATCTAAAGACATATGGAGATGAAGAAGAAGAGCCAGCCCTGTAAGGTTTTTTTAAATAATTTGTTTTATTAAATTCTTATAATCCATCTCACTCTTAATGTCTTTAGAGGACTGGAGCAGCACAGAAGCTATAAATTAGAGTTATATTCATTCTACTATAAATTAGAGTTATATTCATATCTGTAAGATATAAATGAAATCTAGATTTCACCCAAAAGATTGTTTCTCTCTCTTAATTGTTCTTAAATTATATTTTCCGTTTGCTACTGTTCAGTAAAACTATCTTTGGCCATATGGTGGCTGTGGAAAGAGTGTATCAGTTCAAATATCTATTGAGCATCCACTTTGTGCAGAGTATTAATTAAATGCTGAAGGGAGTATGCAGTGTTTAGTGAGCACTTTCTTTTTCTTAAGGAATTTATCTGATACAGATGATACTGTAGCCTTATAGAAAATATAGTATATGATAAGTGCTAAGAAGGAGGATAGATAACATTTTTTTAAATATCATTTAGGCCTATAGAAGATAGCATGTGATGAGGGCACAATTAATGTACATCAGGAAGGGAAGACTTTCTTGAGGAAGAGGCATTTAAACTGGTCCTTTAAGGTTAGGTAGCATTTCTGCAGGACAGGAAAGACAATATACATTAAGAGAACATCATGTACAAAGGCACTGAGTCATGAATGTGAGGATGTGCTTGGGCAATATTGAGTAGTTCCCACTTAATGTGTACTTTTATTGACAGTGTCTTTCTTTCCTGGAATTTAAGTTCTGTGAGAGCAGGAATTTCTGTCTCTCATTTCTGAGAGAGAAATAGGCTAGATTGCTATAGGCCAGAATGCTTCCTGGCCTATAGGAGACATCATGAGTAGTATGTTGAATGAAAGAATAAATGAACCAGTGTGTATAGAGTAGGCAGGGTATAGTGGAAGATAAAGCCGAAAGGGTAGTTAAGGAGGCCCGATAATGAATGGCCTTAAAAATGACTTTTGGGGGCGGATTTGGGCATCATTTGGTAGGAGACAGGGCACCATCAGCTGATTCTGACACTAGTGTAATGTGAAACATGAATTGTAAAAAGAAGCAAGCAGAGGTGGAGGTCATTCTAGAAGTTAAATAACAATGCGTGGAGGGCAATGTGAAAAGTGGAGAGATTTTCGAGCTGGTGTTTTATAAGATCTAGTGACTATCAATATGGAATATAGAAGGCTGGGTACGTGAGATGGAGGGGTTGAAGGAAAAGACCTAAGAGCAGAAGTTTGGAGAAGGCCTATGCTTGTGGGCTGGGAGAAGGAAACCACAAGGGAAGAACGATCACAGCAGTGAAAGGAGAGAACCAGGCTAGAGTATCATAGAGAAGAGGGTTAAGTATTTTACTTTTTGAGAATCTCCTGGCCGGGCGCGGTGGCTCAACCCTGTAATCCCAGCACTTTGGGAGGCCGAGGCGGGTGGATCACGAGGTCAGGAGATCGAGACCATCCTGGCTAACATGGTGAAACCCCGTCTCTAAAAATACAAAAAACTAGCCGGGCGTGGTGGCGGGCGCCTGTAGTCCCAGCTACTCGGAGGCTGAGGCAGGAGAGTGGCGTAAACTCGGGAGGCGGAGTTTGCAGTGAGCCGAGATCGCGCCACTGCACTCCAGCCTGGGTGACACAGCGAGACTCCGTCTCAAAAAAAAAAAAAAAAAAATAAGTTCACCTGAAAGTATAAATGAGTAGAGTAGTTCAATAAAGAAGAAAATTAACTTACTTTGTTGTGAAGTAATCTGAATGGTACATTTATTTTCCTAAAAAGATACAATCATGATTTTTTAAATAGGCACATAATTATTTTGTTTATCATTCTGATTAATAGTACCATTGTGATATTTCTTAATAGCGCTAATTAGATAATATGCAGTAAAATAGAAACTAGAATGAAGTGACAAAGTTCGAAGTCTTAATCTTCACTTTATCTTTTATAGGATGATAAAAGGCCTGGTAGGATTTAGAATCCCTAACAGTTTCCCCTACTAACTGAAAGACTTTGGACTAATCATTTGGCTTCTCTGGGTGTGTGATTTTTTTTTCACTTATAAAACAGAAAATTGAAATAGATGTTTTCTAAAAATGTCTTTCCTTCAAGTGCTATAATAATGTCTTTTTGATTTTACTGTTATGTGAGATTAGGAGTTAAAATTGGATCAATAGAGGAGAATTTTTAAAACGTTTTTTGGAAAATAGAGAAATTTTTCTAAAATGCTTGAAGTTTACGAGTACTGTCAGTTTGTTAAGGGATGAGTTATAAAGAAAACTTGTGGTGTTTAATCATTGATTCTTAGGTCACCACCAGCCACACTGATGTCTCTTCTTAGCACTCAAGAGGACTTACTAGAAAATGTTTTGGGGTGTGTTCCTGTTGGACAGATAGTTACTATTAAACCACTGAGTGAAGACTTCTGTTATGTTCTGGGATACCTTCTCACTTGGAAATTAATTCTAACTTTCTTCAAAGCCGCGTCATCACAGGTAAATAAATATGTGACAACTTTTGATAATTCTGTCCTAATATGCTTCTGATACTGTTCTAAATACCTTCCTTCCCTTCAGTTTAATAAAAGGGAAATCCTTATGTTTTAATCTCATCCTTTTTTTTTTTGCATTTGAGACAGGGTCTCACTCTGTTGCCCATGCTGGAATGCAGTGGCACGATCTTGGCTCACCGCAGCCTCTGCCTCCTAGGCTCAAGTGATCTTCTCACTAAGTGGCTGGGACTACAAGTGCAAGCCACCATGCCTGGCTAATTTTTATATTTTTTGTAGAGATGGGGTTTCACCATGTTGCCCAGACTGGTCTCATACTCCTGAGCTCAAGTGATCCACCCTCGTTGGCCTCCCAAAATGCTGGGATTACAGGCATGAGCCACGGTGCCCGGCCTAATCTCATTTTATCCAGCTAACTTCAGATAATCTGCTTAATAAGTTTACTCCTGTCCCTTATACCTTACCCCTCCAAGCAAAAGTAATTACTCTGATATGTGGCCAGACCAACTTTTTTTCTAACTGAATGTAGTCACCAGGTTCTTTTATATCAAGAAATAATATTTATATAATTTAATTGTGTACTATCATAGTAATTATTTCAAAAGAATTGAATCTTGTGTTTTTTCTGTTTTTTTGGGGGGGTCAGTTTTTCACTCTGTTATGGAGATTTCACTTAATACATCATTGGCAATTTACCTTACTTGAAAATCACTGTTTGGAGAAAGATCTGTGAAACATTACCTATGTAATAATTCCAACTGTTACCTAAATGGTAAAAATATCTGAAATATTTTGCCCAAATTATTCTAGCAGCCACTAGATGTCTCTGTTGTCTCACGTTTAGGAAGTAAGACCTTGTCCAAGAAGAAACTGGAAAGATCTCTCTAGTTTTTATTTCTTTTAGAAAGATCCCCACTTGAGGATAGTTTGAGCCCGGGAAGCGGAGGTTGCAGTGAAATGAGATCATGCCACTGCACTCAAGCCTGGGCGACAGTGCCAGACCCTGTCTCAGAAAGAACAAGGAAGATCCAAATCTCTGTCAATCTTTGATTGAATTAACCTAGTAAAATATGTGCCTTCTTTGACAGGTCAATACAAAAAGATTTAGTTTATCACTTAGTGTGATTAAGTATTCATGGCATTCATTTCCAATGTGACTTTTTGGAATTTTTAAATTATAATTTATGTTGTTGCTCATAACCTATACCTTGGTACAAAGATATCAATTTTTGCATCTTTGCATTTGTACATCTAAGGAGAAAAATCAAATCACAGAAGTAGCATTGATCTAGTTGTTAAATAGATTAGTTTTCTCTTTAGGCCTGTCACGTATTTTTGTGACTTAAGCTGGTTTTATTTGCTGATGATATATTTCAAGAGCTCCTTATTGGGCTTTTACATCAATTTCTTAAAATATTGTTGATCTCGAAAAAAATAGCAGATTGAGGCTTTTGTGTATAAGAGTTTTGTTCTCATTTTATATTCAGAAATTAGGAAAATGGCCATGGATCACCTTTTTTATTAGGCTGTGATTGGGTTAGGGTGCAAAATTATACAGCAGCATTTGTTATTATTGAGTCTGAAAAACTTGAACTGAGCTGTAGGCAGATAAACCAGAATAACCCACTAAATAATACTAAGTATTAGGTGGGTTATTCTGGTTTATCTGCCTACCCAATAATTAGTTGAATCCTGAAATAAACAATTTTTCTTCAGAAAACTTTAAATGTTCCTAAATCATGGGTTAACTTTTTTCTCAAAAAAACTCCTAGCAAATCAGATTGAACTAGAAAAAGTTGTATATGTACATGTGTATGTTTATTTGTTTTATAAAGCTTTACTGAGATATTGCACATACCATAAAATTTACCCACTTAGCATACACAGTTTGGTGTTTTAAAAAAATTTTTCTGTTTTTTTTTTTTGAGATGGAGTCTCGCTCTTGTCCCCCAGACTGGAGTGCAATGGTGCGATCTTGGCTCACTGCAACCTCCAGCTCCTGGGTTCAAGTGATTATCCTGCCTCAGCCTCCCGAGTAGCTGGGATTACAGGCGCTTACCACCACGCCTGGCTAATTTTTCTATTTTTAGTAGAGACGGGGTTTCACCATGTTGGCCAGGCTGGTCTCAAACTCCTGACCTCAGGTGTTCCGCCTACCTTGGCCTCCCAACGTGCTGGGATTACAGGCATGAGCCACCGCACCTGGCCACACAGTTTAGTGTTTTTAGTATATAGTCATCCCTTGATATCTGCAGGGGATTGTTTCCAGGCTCCCTCCCATGGCCCACAACCCAGTGAATACTCAAGTTCCTTATATAAAATGGCATAGTATTTGCATCTAACCTATGCACGTCCTCCTGTATACTAGTTAAAATCATCTCTAGATTAGTTATCATCGATACAATGTAAATGCTATTGAAATAGTTGCTATACTGTATTTTTAACATTTGTAGTATTTTTATTGTATTGGGTTTTTAAAAATCACTTTTTATGCCCCTCAAATATTTTCTTTTTTTTTTTTTTTTTTT